GCAGCTTCTGAACTTTCATCAGGAAAAGGAAGCAGTTGTTTTCTACACAGAAGTGTCTTTCAGATTGGCCTAAGTATGTAAAATGATTACTTTCGTTCCCATCCAGCCCAATTCATTCAATATTTTTTGTCAGGGTACTTGTCATCAGTGGCATTTGCCCAGGGTGAGTCACACCTACCCAGGCAATGATCTGAGAGAGCCCTCAAATCTTTCTCATTTTCATTTTACAGGGTACAGCCCTGGTAAATTCATGACTGTATGGGACCACACAGCACTTTAGAGAGCAGCTCCTTTTCTTCAAACCAGATTTCAGCCTAAGAGGCAACTACTTCCAAAAAAGATTCTCTGGTTCAGTGCCTGTCTTTGTTTTCCTTATGTTTTTCACCACACTGCTTTCTGGTTACACTGCAAATTTGGGTGCACTCAAGGTATTTTTACCTCCCCCCTCCACCCCAAAAATGAAGGAAAGCTGAACTGTATGAAAATATTGTGAGAACTGAGACCCTCAAGGAAAATGACAAGAGGTGTAGAGGACCTTGCAAGACTCTTTCCAGGAAATGGGTGGAAGGTTCATCACATGAGTCATTGAAACCTTAGATGACTACATTCTTGAGGAATAAACTGTCAGGAATATGATACTGGTGAGGACAACGCGGGGGGAGAAGAAAACTTCTTAAATAACTGTTGTTTGGGTTTTTGTCCATGATTCATTCCTGAGGAAATTGCTGCATCTCTGGCCAGGAAGAGGGCAGCATGCAGGCAGTGCCGGCCCTCCTCTGCAGAGGCGGCAGGCGAAGCGTGCACAAGGGGGTGCACAGCCCTGCTGCTCCAGGCAGCCCCAAGGGCTGAGAGGGATCAGGAGTACTCCGTGGCTGTCCTGCCCAAGTGAATAGAGTAAGGCAGGATCACTAGTGCCCATATACCAACTGAATCAATTAACGTCTTATTTTTGTATACTAGCAGGTATGAAATCAAGAGGAAATGAAGGTTTTAAAACTCTAATTCTAGCTTCTTTCAAGAAGTTTTCTTGCTCTCCCTGCTCCAACCAGTTAACCAAGTTCTATCAATAAAACTGTCCCAAAGCTCTGAATTTGGATTTCAGAGAAGGTCTTAAGATTTAAAGCTAGTAACAACAGAAGCAGTCAAACACCCTCCACAGCTACCTCCAGAGGAGCTGATCCAGCATTAGCAGCAGTGGGAAATGTTTGCAGTAGTATCTTGAGTGTGAAGAAACCCCAGTGTTCCAGCGTGCCATTGCCAGTTCCCATTTTGAGAAGTTTGACCCAAGCATTTAACATTTCAGCATCAGTTCTGTGTCTCATAATGCTGTTTACGTAATGATTGCTCATTTGGTTCCCATTAAAATCATGGTATTTCTTCTGCAAACCACTGCTTGTAAAAATCTAGCCACCCAGTTTCTCTTTAGATGGTAATACAGGAAATAAATAGTAGGATACACACTATAATTCTCAGAGAATGGGGGGCTTTTTTTCCCCTGTTGGACACGTAAAGTTCAGACATCAGAAGTATGAATGTGAAGGATCTGTTAAGGATTGGTAAATCCATCTCCTGCAAAAACACAGTGTAGTTACTCTCTAGCAGATTTTCCTCAAGTATTATATTGGTAAAAAGAGAGTCTACAGCTCTCCATAGTCAAAGCATCAAGAATGCTCTTAAAACTGGATAAATGGTAGGTGAAGTTCTCTCAGGCCATCCCAGCGCTGCTATACTTTGAGGCAGTGCAGAATGACTTCTTGTATTATAAATACCAGCACTTTGAAGAACTCAGTTTCAAATGCCTCAAACAATGGGGGTTTCACCGCTTCCTGTGGGAGCCTGTTCTGCAGCCTAACTCATTTTACCATCTGGAGCATTTTCCTGAGTGTTTGCTCACTTTAAACTTTCTTTTAATTGTGTACCCACTATTTCTTCTTAAAGGTGACTTACCAAAAGTTTCTGTTGCGTGAAATTCGTGTAATGTCATGCTTTTTTTTATTTTTTATGAGGATCAAGAAAACTCTGAAAGATTGATGGCTTCTTCTCTTTACTTTTTCTTCCTCAGAAATAGTAATAAGTAATTCATAACGTGTTTACTGCTTCTCTAGCTATTCATCTCAACAATTTACAAGGAAGGTCAGCATTGTTGTACTCTTTTTACAGATGGGTAAAATTGAAGCACAGGGCAGGAAACAACTTGCCCAAGATCACTCAATGAGCCTATGGCAAGACTTGGATTTTTAAGCAGGTCACCACAGTACTGCCCTACTTTTTTCTTACTCTTTTTTTTTTTTTTTTTTTTTTGGCCCAGTCTCATTCCCTTTGGCTTTGTTGGAGTACCTAGGAAGGACAAACTTTCCATGAACTTTATTCAGAATTGTAATATTGTAACTGAAAGGTCAGCTTGTTGAATATTTAACAGTTGCTATCTTTCCAGTGTGTTGGTCAAGCATCCTAATTAAGTAGTGATAAATAAAACCAACAAAGCATTTTAACAGACTGATTCAGTCCCGAGGGCCTCTGAGCTGAATTTCCTTCAGCTAGCCTGTGTTTTCCAAGTTGCAGATTGTCCAGCTTGAACACAGTATATATCAAGCTTTTATCAGTGCACTGCAGGGAGATTTCCTTCCTTCTCAGTGCCACCGTGCTTACTTCACATGTTGTATTTCCCTTAGCTGTGGGTTTTGGTAAGTGCATTTCTCAGAATCTGGATAGCTGCTGAATTATAAATCTTCCACTTTGGAATAGAAACACCACAATGTGTACAGCATGATATACTGGGTAGGGAGCCGAGCCCTGACCAGGCTTACCTGGGTATCAGAAGCAGCCTGGCCTTAGCAGCCCAGAGCTCTCCTTGAGTTTCTAGCAGACAGGGTGTTTCTCCTACCTGCCTGTCAGCCTGTCATTTCAGTGACTATCTTTAGTGGGACTAGATATGCCTAAGCACGTGGTAAGATGTTGTTCCTCACCTCCACATGGAAGGGTGAAGGCAGCCACATCTGTGTGCTCACAGTCTGGTCTGCAGGGGACTTGTGACTGCCTCACACTGATCAGAGACTAAACTGATAGTGCCCATCACATGCAAGGTGCAGCACTCTGTATGGACTGAGAAATGAGAAACTAGTGCTGTGGGTAGGCCAGAGTTATATTTGAGGGGATAGCACACAGATCTTCTTGGCTTCCAACCATTTTCAAAGTATGCCAGTAAGTGAAGTCCTTACCCTCCGAGTTATTCCCCTACTGCTCTTTCAGGCCTCCTTCATTCCAGGTACCATCGAACCAGCATCTGAGGATTTACCAAAAGCTACAGGACTGCTTTTAGGTCACTAAGCACGTTGTCTTTGCTTTCAAATTGAGTTTGAGAAATTACCAGCACTGTCAATCTTATGTCTCCTGGCTATGTGAATAGAGGAAGCTAAGAAGCAACAGTCGATTACATAAAGCGGGGAAATCCCCCTCAAACTTCTCCCAGACTACCTGGAACTAAAGTTGATTTGCATGCATACAGTACAAATGACTTTGCAATGGCTTCTAGCCCCATGAAAGGGTTACATGTGTAATCCTTGAGGCCAGTTCCACCAGTTGAATCACTCAGAGAAGATAAAAAGATTGATTTAGAGCTTGTATAGAAATCTAAGCAGTTTTATGTAGCATCAACCTATTTCACATGAGGATACAACTGGGTAATGCTGTTCCACACAAAATCAATGGGAACTGTTCAATACCTGTTAGTGACTAGTAATAATAAATAATGGCCAGTCTTCGCGAGCGAAGATCCGGGGAAGGTCTCTACACCTTCCAGCCTGCGCATTGGATTTTTTAGGTGAGACACAGTGTGTGCGGAACTGAGTAGTTCTTCTAGAAAAACAGCACCAAAAAAAAAAAAAGTGTTATGCTTTTTAATTTGTGAGAATGGATGGGTAGTAGTGCAACTAAACTTCCTATATAAACTCTGTTTGGTGGAAAATGTACCTTATTGTAAACCAGAAAAAAAATCTATAGTATTTTTGTAGTTGAAAACTATAGTCAGCTGCTTTACAAAATCTGAGACTCATTTGGCCGGGAATTCCTGGGTGATGCTGTTCCAAAAGCAGTGGTGTTAAACAGACTTCCAGAATTCCTATGATTTTTTTAAACATCACGGTTTAACAGAAACAAACAAGTGAGCAGAGGAGGAGGAAGACTGAGACACATCTTCCTTTGACAATCTGTGTAATAAGCCTTGTGTTTCTTTTACAATATCACCTCTGTTAATATTAATAGCGTCATGGCCTGTTGCCATGAAATACCCTGCCTTTCACTCTCCTCCTTTCAGCTTTATTGATTTTCTTCAAAGCTTTGCTACAGAACAATAGGAATCAGCCCAGGTATGAACTGGCTGTTCTGCAGAGTCCTTCAGGCACCTGAGGGCTCTGTTTGCTACGATGTGCTTGTCTCAGTGGGTCATCTGTAGAGACTGGAAAAGAAGTACATCTTTGAATAGGCCTGTGATGCCTTGCAATGCAGTTAATAGCAGCAAACATGAGGACATGACATGATCTGACTGATGATTAGTAGCTTGGATATTTTGGTCCTGATAACTGTGTGTGTTTCTTCAGTTTATGTTCTTTCCATCAGCTTGAAGGTTGATCAGGAAGGCTTTCACTTTGGTTTTTTATTATTTCCTTTCACAAATAGCAGTCCATTTATTACATATAGTTTCTAATCACAGTAATATAATATCTTGTATTCACATCTCTATGTGATTCATCCCAAAGCCCGACATGGACATGGGACTAAGATTAGAAGAGAGCAGCTCATACTGGTTAGGAAGCAGGCTCTGGTTTCAGCCTAGGTATTAATAAAGCATGTGGAGTGGAGCCATAATATTTCCTCTTAATCCAAAGAAATTTGCTATTAGTTGGAAAATATATTGGTATAAGCTGTGCACTGTTTAACTCTAGAAAATGTATTCGAACTGTAAATATTGAGGTTGAGGTATCTGTCTTTATTGTGTGTTTCAGATGGAAAGGGTCAAACAAATTTAATTTGGGAAGGAACCAATCCTGCTCTGCAGCCCATACGAGTGAGGAGCACTGCCTTGAAAGATACTTTACCTAGCACTACTGGAGAGACTTCAAGCAATACATCCAACCTATAGAAAGGACCAGTGGAAACTCCCCAAAGAAAAGAATAAATGATGACATTGTTTTTCAAAATTCTGTTGAAGCATTCTCCTTCTTTTGTCTCTTTGAAGACTAACTTTAAAACCAAATACTGTTCTTTGTATGTATGGGGCTGCACTTTACTCTGAACCTGTATTTTGTTCAAGTTAATTTAAGTGACTTAATAATAAAAGCCTCTGAACAACACACATGTTACTGAAGAAGCATAGGCCACACATCCCTTCCTAATTCACCTCATCACCTCATGAATTTGGAGAAAGTTAAGCACAGTTAAGCACGAGTGTCCACAGCTCATAACATAGTGAAATGTACCCTTCTTTTTTTTAAGACAATGATAAACCCACTCATTGGCTTGATTAAGAAACAATAGCATAGAGCGCACTTATTCCTGGAACTCACTTGAAAATCATCGGAGATGATGAAAGAGTTGCTAATAGCTGGGCTCTGACAGTTCAGAATGGAAGGAGAACAGGTAGCAATCTGAACAGTAGGAAGATCACTGTGTATTACAGCTGCTTACCTTCCTCTGTCTTCAAAGTGCTTTTAAAGTATTCACAACATGACTGCAAACCACAGAACTATTTACTCACTTTATAGACTTAGAGAAAGTATGATTTGCTCAAGGTCATTAAAGGCATCACTGTGATCAGGATCAGGCCGTTCCCAGCTCTCAAGCCTAAGGAAAAGCCATGGGCTCAGTTAGTGCCAACTGCCAGTGGAGAAGCGCCATTGTCCCGAGAGGTTGGTTCTGTCCTCTGCTGTCTCAGAGAAAGCCTCCCTGAGCAACCGCTTGAAAAACAGAGTAACCTGTACAGAATGAAATAATACGTGCCCTTCTGTACGGTTACATGGATTATTTCAATAGTTAATGGCTATCCCCCCCACCAGGATGTCTGTTGAGTTCACTTAGTCCATGACTGCGAGTTCTATCCATCCATCCATCTTCCAGGTCAGAAAAACTGGTGTGCTGTTGACTGCACCAGGAGCTCATGACTGGTGTATTTGAAGCAGTCCATCCTCACTGTCCATGGTAGTTATGGCATACAGTAGCAGTTTCATTCAGCAACCAGTTCCTTATGCAATTAAACGTTACAGACTGTTCTCACTCAAAAATCAAATCCACTTGAGATACACATCGTGTTTCCCTGTTCCTCTGCATCACCCACAAAGTTCACGCAGGTCCTCGAGCAAAAACAATCCCACAGAATGGTTTTGTCTTTGCTTGAAGCAGGATTAATCCGAACTGTCTTAACACATTTCTGATATGCACCACAGGGACTTTATCCCCTTTTTTGATACGTAGAGGTTCTGATTAGGCAGGGCCAGCTCAGCTGGTAGAGCCTCAGCTGTTAACTAACCAGGTGGCTTTTGCTAAATCCCAATGTTTGAAGGTCCCATTGTGGTTTTTAACAGTCCATTGTACCATTCAACTTTCCCAGAGGCTGGTGCACGATAGGGAATGTGATATACACCCGCAACACCATGCTCTCTGGCACAACATACCTGCAAACCACAGAACTACTTCCTCACCTTACAGGCTTTTGCTGTTTTCTTCGCACTCTTTGGGCGATGAGGGAGGTCCTGGGGAGCATATGGCCCCTGTTAAAAAGTACTGCACACCCTTACTGTGGCACTGCAAGAGACATGGAAGCTGATGTTGCATCACTCCCAGCCACCAAGCAGGATGGCATGGAGACACCATATCTGCAGCTATCTACTTACACACCTGCTCATGCAGCTTTGGGCTCTCCTTTAACAAGGAAGTTTCCATCACAACAAGGAAACTGCTCCATTTCAGTACTCTACTTTTAAAAGCTAATACATTTCACCTTGGAGAAGAGCAATTTTCCAACTTCAGTATTACCAGTTCTGGGTTTTGAAGAAACCTTTGTAACATGTAAGTTTAATTTTGTTTTAACTGATATTTAGATTTTCCTGACAGTGTTGCACTACTGGCCACTCAAACCCTGCTGAACTTGCCTGTAGACATTTTATCTGGGTATCTTGTAAATATTTGGTAGAACACTCAGACAGAGAAGTGTTTTTGCTCTTACAGTCACAAGCCTGGTTCCAGGACCTTTTGGAAGCACAAAAGACTGAAAGCAGGGAAAATTCCACTGAGATGCATTACAATCTCCAGGGAGCAACTGCTTTCTGTTTAGACTTAAATTTCCCGTTGCTGACTCTCCCTATTTTAAAAAAACATGAAAGGACAGAGGGGGAAAGCTGGTGGGTTTCATTGTTATAAACACTGAAATGCAAGCAATGTTTTCACTATTTCTCTTATATTGCAGAACCATTGGCACTTGGAGAGGGAGATAAGCTTTTTAATGCTCTCTGCACTACCAGGGAAATTTCCATCCAAGTTCTAAAATGTTTTACAAACATTAATGAATTAAAGTTTAATCCCCTTCTCATCCCCGTGAAGCAAGTACAGTTTAAAGACAGGGCTAATGAGACTAAAATAGTTGTGCCTTGCTGAAGTCACATGGGCAGCGTGGTAAGAGGACTTGGGTCTTTGAGTCCCAGCTTTCTAGCTTATACCACAAAAAACACACATTCCCTCTCTTTTCCAGGATTGCTGTACTTCCTCTTCTGGGATATGGTGAAAACATGACGGCATCACACCTTGAGACAACCTTGATTTTTCCCCCTTGAAACAGAGATTGCTCACAACTGCTGTCCCGTGGAGTTAAGATGTTGAAAAAATCAGAGAGGGATGTGAGGTGGGGGAAAAACAATCAAGTCACTGCTCTGTCTGGCTTGGGCATGTTCTCCTCCACTGCTGCCAGTGAAGTTGGTGTTCTGTCAGGAGCACCCTCAAACATTTTTGTACACGCTTCCATATATTATTCAGGCAGGTCTATGGTAAAAATGCCATTATCAAAGAGAAAACTTGACTGACAAGAAAATTGGACAGATGAGCCAGTAAGTCACTCCTGTATTGAATAAATGTAATTTCATTACGCTCCTGTATGTGACCTGCATTTCTTACTGCTTGTTATTATCAGAACCCTGTAACTACTGATCCAGCCACCTCTTTCACTTCTGCAGAAAAGAGGGATAATCCATCAGCCAGTTCCTCTCCAGTGGTATGAGAGGTTTTTACCAGGGGGATTAATTTACCAGGTCAGTTGAGAGAGCTGTTGCCAGCAGGACTGAGCCAAAAACAATGTGCATATGAGTCATGAAGTGGAAGAGAAGGAAACAAATCCATAGATTCAAAGTTTTTGAATTATTTCTTTTCCCTAGCTTCCTTTGTCCACACTGATCAATAGCCAGACATGCAAAAGCTGGATATATATTGATAGTGACCAGTGTTAGCAGAACTGAAAGCTTCTATCACTGAGCAAACAAACCTGAAGTCAGTCAGCCCCCAAAACCAGATCAGTGTGTACCAGCTATTCCAGCCCTTGTAGGTGAGAGAAGCTGGGAGAAAAATCAGATCACAGTGCAGCAGCCTCCTCCTGTCTCTCCTGTGACCCTGTGGTGTACCCCAGCACTAGAGCCTTTGGCCTCTTCACACTGTTACGTTCTGTGACAAGGCCCCAGAACTGCTGCTTCTGTAACACCCATCCCTGCAGAGGATCTGGACTCACTGCAAATGCTGTACACAGTGCTCATTTCATTCCTTGTTGAAAGGGAGCCAGGCCTGAGGTGGAACATGGCAAACACTTCGCCGCACCTGGCAACTCCACGCAGCTGCTGAAAACAAGCGAGGAAGAAAGCAGTGTACAAATGCAGGGGAATTTTCACATAGGCAGGATGTAATTAGCAGAGCTGGAATTTGGCCAGGACATTGGGGTTAAAACACTGGCTTGCAGGTAACACAGTAGGATCTTTCATAATTCAAATGCTCAGGATCTCCCATTTCCATTTTACCTGGAAGATGTCAGAAGACAGTTCGCTATTTAATGTCTCTGGGCAGCTCTCGAACATCTGACACAAAGGAAGAAGTGTCTAAATGGTGCTGCACCTGCAGCGCTTCTCCGCCAGCAACTGCCCACTGTGAACAGCAGCTGAAAGCATCACATCCTGACAGGACTGTGGCTGCATCGCTGTAAAACACACCTCAGCTGTCTCCATGCCTTGGGTTTCACTTCACCCCTAACTCTCATTACTCAATTTTCAGGCTCCAAATCCCTTCCAAACAGAAAGAGAAGATGATAAAATTATGGCAGCCCCTTGCACATAAAACACAAATGAGAGAATATTAATAAGAGCAGCATTAGGTCCTGCTTCAACCTTATTCTCTGCCACTTGGAATAGTACCAGATAGCAATTGGACAACAGAGAATTTAGATGAAGCACTTCCCCCCAAAACAGATGAGTGAGCTTTTCCAACTGGCCTTGCTGGTAATAGAACGATAAGAGCTTGTGCTGCCTCCTTCCTTCCAGCAGGGAAATCATGTTCAAGGTAGCAAAACATTTTTTTCCCCTTCATGATCTCACTCTCTGTATAAGCAATCTTTGTGTTTACTACAAGGATGTTGCATGTCCACAAAAGGTCAGGGAAGTCATTCACGAACCCCACTGTGCAAAATCTACACGATGTTTCTACCATGATGTGGCCCACAGTCTCAAATAGAAATAATTGCAAACCTTTAGCCCCTCATCAGTCAGACTTGCAGACTATTTACAGTCAAAGAGCTCACTTCCTCCATGTGATACAATGCACGCAAGCAAAACAAGAACTGCAAGAGCTGTTCCTGCCATCCAAAAAAGTATAATCTCTGCATCAGTAAGTCATAAAAAAGGGACCCCTCCTAAGCCTCTGAGGGCTCCCCTTTTTGTTTATTTAGGGGGGGTGTTGTATGCCCAGGGTGCCATGCAAGTCCCCTTCTTTGTCAAGTGTTGCTTAATACAATCACCAGCCAAACAATGAGAGCAAGACTCACTCCAGTGACAGAATGAACTGGGGAGAGTAAAGTATGGGCAGCTGCAGGCAACAGGAAATCCAGCACTAATAAATAAAATGTCTTATAGCCAGAAAGAGGAAATAAACAGCAGCAGCACAAACTGAGAGGACAGAA